TATTTATTTTAAATAAATTATTTCAAAAACTAACTGCTTATTTTGACTGAGTGTGTGCGTGTGTGTGTGTGATACCCCCACTTGGTTGCCTAACAACAAAGGTTGCCATGCGTGTTCAAGTTGTTTGAAGTTAACGTGCGAGGCCTTTCCACTGACATATCGGGCACACACAACTGTTGAAAAGCAATCCAAACATATATATCCATATTATAGACAAAAACTAAAATTTATAGAGAGCAAAATTTGAACTATTAACAATATGCACAGGCATCGCTATAATAACGTACAGCTCGATGGGCTGACCGCGGGCTTGCTCAGACACCAACAGCAGCATCAGCCACAGCCGGAGATGCCGTTGCCCAAGGGAGGACATATAACTGACAAAGACAAGGACAATGAGCAGTTGCCCATGTGGCCAAGTGAACGCATTGCMCCTGGCGGCAGCGGTGCCTTCCATGTTCCCAAAGTGGAGTACAGCAAGGAAACTGCTGATTTACTCAAGCGTAAGTATAATTAGAGTTCTGGGATGCCATTTAGCTTGCCCCGCTTGCGTTGCAGTGCTCATGAAGGAGTCGAAGATGTCCATGATTATGCGCAAGCAGATCGATCAAAGCTTGCGCAGTGGGGAGCCACTGCCCTTGCCTAAGCCGCCTCGTCCCAATACCAGCAACGATATCGACAAGGAGACCCAGGCCATACTGGAGCGTGCTCGCAATGCCAAGCGCAAGAATCTGCGCCAGATTGAAAGTAGTGGCGCCTATGAGAGGTCCTACTTTCGCCCCAAAGTGGACAATCGCATGGTCAGCGACAAGGCCAAGTCGAGGCTGCAGTTCACCATGGCTGGCATTGAGCTGCCGGATCCGGCCATCAAGCCGCTACGACGTACCCGTGAGGATCGTTTGGTTACCGAGAATGATCTAATCAATGAATGTGAGTGCAGATCAGTTTTTGTCGATTTGAACCTCTCTCTATATATGTCATCTCAGTGCTGGATCAAATCAATGAGCGTGCCGAATGGCTGGCCGAAATGGAGGCTCTGGGACAGGGTAAGAAATATCGTTTGGAGATACATGATCAAATCTCCGAGCGCTTACATCGCATCCGTAGCCTGGAGACCAAGATAAAAATGAAGGCAGATGGAGGCTATCGCTTTGTCGACTAGAATGAAGTTGAAAAGCAAAATATGTTAAATGTTTAACGTGTAGAAATAGTTATACAAGTAAATTGAGCGAACCGTTGAGCAAATCATTATTTTTCTACTTAATTAACTAAAAAGCATAGTTTGGGGCGCTAGAAACAATTGGGTTGCGCGTGTATTGTAGTAATTTTATAATTTTATTAAAATTATTTACTTGATATAATATAATCGTTTTGTATAAGTTCAAATTGAATCGTGGCACATTTTCAATACAGACAAAAACTCACAGCTTAAGAATTTAAGAAGCGCAACTCAATGAAATTACGAGTTTTTGTAATCGGGCGTTTGGCTAACTGAGCGAATACTATAACGATTGAAAATACGTATGAATCKGTTGTAAGTAATCGAATAAATTATTGGAGTATATGGTAATATATATAGATAATACGCCTAGAGTATTTCYTGTTCCTATTCCTTATGCTTCCGTGCGTAAGTTTATATATATATGTATATATGTATACACGTCTGTAATGCTCCATTTAAAAATAGACATTTTGTGCTACAATTGTACAAGATTGAGGATTAACAGGAGGGCATGTGGCATCGAAACTCGCCGGCGGCCTCAGCAAAGCGATTGCGTATCAAATAGCCGCTGATGACCTCAGCAACCTCGTGTGGACGGTCCTCGTGTACGGCGTGACCACAGCGTGCCAACACTTGCATTTGGAAGCGCCCCTGCATTTGTCCAACGGTAAGTGTGCGATCAAGGCCATCAATGCTGGCCAGGAGCAATTGTTTAGGTATTCGTAAATTAAGGAACTTGTCGCTGAGACCCGAAAACCAGCCGACCCAATACTTTTCCGATTTAGCCAGATCGATACGCCAGGTGTAGCTAGAAGTATTCAAAATGTCGGCGTTGCTTTTCCAATTTACCGTTGAAATACATACTTCTTGGCCGCATCTGTTGCAGCTTTAGTTGTCATGGGCTTCTTGAAGTCAACGCTTTCAGCTCCTTCTTCCCCGGCATTGCCTACCTCTTCATCTTCAGAAATGCTAAATGCATTGGGAAACATGCTCGTGTGATGCGCTTCCTCTAGCACCTCCTCTGGCAGGGGAAGATCATTCGTTGCCAATTTATTCGTTGTACAGCTAAATCGGAAAATCAATTTAAATWAAAAGCTCTCTTCGCAATGACGTCACTCACTTAATTATCTGTCCAGGCATTGAGACTTTGGCACTGTCCACATTCCTCACCTGTCCGCTCCGAATGCACCACTCAATGGCATTCGGTATACTCTGAAAATACTTAGGACGCGAGCGCAGAAAGCTTTGCATGCTAGCCAAAGCTTCCATAGCTGTGCCCTCAACGACATCGATTACGGTGATGCCAATCAGAGTCGGCACTAATGCCATATGAGCAAAATGCACAGCAATGGCTCCGCCCATCGAGTGACCAACCACATAGATTTGTGGTACTTCCTCGGGATAGAGTTTTGTGATTAGATCACCAATGTCCCTATAAGTACATAGAGAGCATAGCACTTAGGCATGTCCCACACACTCAGAGAAGCAACAGGCTAACACTTACTGTGATAGCGTGTCTGCCGACAAGTCGTCCTCGTCATCCACTTTGCTGTCACCGTGTCCTCGAAGGTCGACGCACAGACACTGACAGTGTATCATGCTTGTCACTTCCGACTGGAAGGTAGAACGGATAGTGATGGAATATGATAATTGCTCACATGTACAGSATACGTATACATACACAAAAGTGCGCCCAAGTAAGCGCCGAATAGCCCCCTCCGTGCAATAACAACAATATGGGGCCTGGTTTCTCGGGTTTTTTAGTGCGGTAGACTCGAAACATTCGGTGCTCGTCCACGACGACGTCTTCCTTCTCGGCGAAGAACTCGTTCCACATGCATGGCCTGTAGTCCCTGATTCTTGATTTTTTAAATGAATCTCTGCAATGGCATATTAATTAGATGTCATGTCCTTCATCCTCCACACACACGCTTATAATTAGCGGAAAAAACTTACGCTCGGCCAATCCGGCCACCCGGAATGGT